ATGAAAAGAGTTTGCAAAGACTTCCTGTTTACTTCCCTTTTGGGTTTTCTTAGTCCCTGTAGGAAAAAGTTTATCCCTCTGTGTGCGAGCGTGTGTGTGTGTGTGTGTGTGTGTGTGTGTGTGTGTGTGTGTAAGTAGTCGAGCAAAAAAGAATGAGATGGACTTAAGGAGAGTCAATATCGCATATGAATCAAAAGCTGACATTTAGCTATTAGATAGATCTCAGTAAAAGGATATGTTCAAGCTAAGTTGATTAAGTTTATTAAACTTATTTATTAAGCTTGACTAAGCTTATTAAAACTTCTGCCAGGTTGAAGCCATTAGTAACCATCTGTAGAAGACAACAGCCATGAGTTTCACAAATACAGCAGCAGTGTCTGCTAGAATTGTGATGTGAGCCATGAATGCAAACCACATATGCAATTTTCAAATTTTCTAGTAGCTATATCAAAACGGTAAAAAGAAAAAGATGAAATTAATTTTAATAATATATTCAACTTAGCCTTATATATCCAAAATGATAGCATTTCAATATGCAATCAATATAAAAACATGAATGAGATATTTTACATTTTTGTACTGAGTCTTCAAACTCCAGTGTGTATTTTATACTTCCTATACATCTCCAGTCTCGACGTAGCCACATTTCAAGTGTATAAGAGCGCATGTGAGTTGGCTATTGTATTGGACAGTGCAGGGCCTGCATCCCGTTCCTGGTTCCTAGTATTGATAAAGTCTTTCTACCTTCCTTTGTTGTTATGGGAGAAAATGGAAACAGAACCTGCCTATTACATGAGTGCTGCACTATTTCCCCAAATGCAGCCCAGCAGTACCAAGAGCTGCCCTGTGGAAAAATGTATTCTGTGATTAAATAAGTTAGGAAAGTTTTATTATTTTACCCCCTTTTGAAGATTATATGATACATTAACATTTTAAAGATTGAGAAAACTCTCCTGGGTAAAGAAACCTGTTTGACGTTGTTTAGTTGTTGAGTTCTGTGTCTATAAGAATCCTAGAAATTGCCACAAGTGTCTCTCCATAAGAAAAGCTTTGTGTTTTCCTCTCTTTTTCCACTCCTTTTGGAAATGAATACAAGGATAAATTTATATTTATCCTTGTATTCAGAATCACCTGAGAAGAATATCTCTTTTGTTCTAGAACAACCACCTCCTAAATTGAAACCAACAGATGACTTTAAAGTCTTGCACTTGGACATAGATCTTCAGAAAGTACCAAAGTATATACCTTCCTCTTATTCTTTCAGAAATGGTGAACACTCTAAAAAGATGTGGGGGTGTGGTGGGGGACATCTGAATGTGTATATGTGTAAACACCAAATACATACAGTTTCTTAAGTAGAGTAATGCAATTCTTGCTGATGTTTTATTTTTATACTTTGCGTGTGGTGTTAATGTACATGCTTTAATGTGTACTGTTCTAGTAATATGTATGAAGTAGCTGTGACATAGCAGTCAGTTTTAAAGATACAGACTATAATTGACTACTGTCAATCTTTAACAAGTGATCTTTTTGCAACTTGGTTTTAGTGGGGTCTCTGATGTTGTCCCCATAAATTTCGTTTTAAAATCTATGCTTCAGTGGCAGTTACCAATATAATTAATTCTGCTGCTGAATTTGGTTCATGTTGAATGTGGTAACCCTTATATGTGGATACATTCAAACATGTGGATTGATTTAGATAATCAGTTTTGTCTTTGTGTTTTAGGACTTTGCTATTTCAATATTAAAGATGTCTTTTGAATACTGTAGCAGCAGTGGAATCCCTATGTTCTTGAAAATGCCAAAGGTAACATGAGTTGCATATAGACTCTTCAGCAGTAGAAATTAAATATTCTAAGTGCAAAAGTTTGGTTTTAGAATCTGATAAGGAAGGACAGCCCAATCTTTAAAAAGGTACCGCTTTCTCAACTTTGAACATCTGGGGGAACTCTTCGTGGAAGTCTGAGTTTTAATATCTTTAATCCAATGGCTCTAAGTTAACAAACATTTAAAAATGGATTTTGTAGAATCAAATTATTAGGGGGAGCACTTTGCAAAGCCATATACTGGGGAATATATACTGGGTCAAGCACCACATGTTAGTTTTGGAATGTGTATTTCCCAGCGAATAGAATTTACTGCTCCAAAAAGCTTTTTTGGCATAATTCACAATACTTACAGAAATATAACTGTATCATTGAAAAAAACAAAGCTCACCTTCCTAATGATACATTTCACAAACAGCACATTAGGGCAATTTCTTACTTATGGGGAGGTACAAAGAAATACTCTGTCAATATAGTATAACTGCTTGTTTCAAATTGTATCTAGGAATGAATAACTACTATTATTTAAAGTACTATTGAATTTTGAGGAACTGATCAAATAATTAGTATTATTAATAAAATTGTACTCTTTGCAATATATTTGCCTTGGCACAAATGCAGAGTTAAAAGCATAAAATTATTTAAAAATTACCAAATATTAGTGATTGGTTGTTACTACTTTAAAATCCTACTAATTTCTGTTAACACTAAATCAAACAGCAGTTATCTGTTGTACACAAGTAGAATTTTGGAAGACTCGGACACAAAATGAAAGCCTTTTAAAAAATGTCTTTTTGCCATAACAGGTTATATGACCTCTTGCTAATCATTATATTTCCTTAGGGGCACTTCGAGGCTCTTTCAAAGACATCTGCAGCAATTAGGTCTAAATTTAGAGTAGAATATTTTGCCACATATTTTACTATACCACAAAATGTCATACTACTGTATTTTATAATAAAGCCAAATTCTCAAGTATTCTAGTATGTTACATATTAATACACCAAAACATCACTTTCTATAAGTCTATTATTATGTACATAATATTTTAAAAAATAATGGGTATTTTGGTCCTAGTGAAAAAGTATAATGCAATACATGACATTAATCTTTAGTCAAAACCCACTGAGGTGTCTGACAGGGAAACTAGCAATCATCATCTATAAGGTATATATTATTCTCAAGGACAAAATGGCAAATGATAATACAGAAAGACGTTGATCACTGGAGCAAGTTAGCTGGTGTGCAGACTGAGTGAGCAAGTGTGCAGACTAAGAAGGATCAACTTGCAAATGCTCCTCAGAATTTAGCTTTTGTTATTGATTGTTTCTGGAGGGGATAGTGCTAGTCAGTTGATATTGCTTCCTTTTCACGTGGGAGTTTGCTCACAGCCCACTGCATGGTATAGTTAAATCTCTTTATAAGCAAGATAGAGTCAGAAGCTTAGCGATGCACCTTATGGTTTTTACAACTGCTGTTACAATGTTCTAAACACTGTGATCTTTCCAAATGTGTTTTCTGTATTCGTTTTGTACTGTAGAAAATAATTCGCTATAAACTGGACTTTATAGTGTTTAAAGCAATGTTATTTACTGGCTTATTGCCCCTCCTTACAATACATTTATGTACAGTACACTTAATGTAAAACCTGTGATAATCCTTTGCCTTAAAATAAAATCTAATGCTAAATACTCAGTGTACTGATTAATAATTCTAAGCTACCAATTTTTTCTTTAAACCTAACCATGATGTCAAGTAAAACATTACACAAATACTCTGTGGAGTGTTGCTGCTGATTCTGTATTTGTGGCAGTGTATGTATCTTGGCCCAGGACGTGGTGGCCTTCTGTGTTCTATAAATAGACATTAGTAATCCTTTTAGGGAAAGGGCCTGCTACCTCTCAGCTGCTGGCTGAACCTGTCCTTTAACTCATAAATGGATTTTCTCATGCCACATAAAAAACAGAAAAACAGCCCACCACATTCTCTCCCTGTACCTTTTTTTTTGTTTTGATTCCTTTTGAATCTTGACATTCTATTTGTGTTTACATTATTTTCTTAAATAGAAAAATGCCAGAGATGTCTGAAGATTGAAATCCCCCAATTTCAACAAGGGAAGAGATCTTATAATTATTTAAGTCTCATCCCTTTATGGAACCCGAGTTTTAGAGAGATTTAGTGGCTTATCGAGGTCTGAGGGACGGGGGTGGGCTGGGTACATCCTGATATCAAGAAGATAGTGGAAAGTTCAATGGGCTAAAAGGAGTTTTGTTAGTCTTGGTGCTGGCACACCAATAAGCAGGGGTCTGCCTTGGAATAAAAAAACTGCTTCCTTATTAGGCCCTGATCTTTGCCCTGAATTACTTACAGTTATAGAGGAATACACTTTGTAGGCAGTTTTTCTGGGAGGTAAAGATTGGTTCTTAGGGACAATCTTTGACGCTTTTTCACCACTGGAAGCAATGCTTCAGACCACTGTATTTGGAAGACAAAGGGACATGCTCACATGGCACAGTGAAAAGTGAAATCTTTTCCCACTTGGTGGTGGATGCATGACAATATACTTGCACTTTGAAAAGCCTATGTGTGGTCTGGTTATTTTTAAAAGACCGGAAACGCTGGCCCTTTGAAGAATCACGCGTTTCCTCGGCCAAGAAAATAGACTGGGCTAGAAAGGCGTCGGGACTCCAATTCTGGGCCTGGGTGGTCGCAGTTTTTCAAAGGGATGTGAACAGTTTCCCAAGATAGGACCCGAGGGACTCTAGGACCCAGAGGCTGCGCGCGACGGATATAGGCCAACTATATCCTTTTGAGCTCCCGCGCCACTGCCTGAGCCGTCTCACGGCGCGGGTTCGCGGCCCGCCAGGGGAAGGTCACCACAGAGACGCAGCCGA